CGCCGCGCGGTGGGGCCCCCGGGCCCCTCCCCTCAGTCAAGTTTCTTCCCCAAACGAATAGCTCAGCCCCTACGAAGAGCTATCGCCCAGGCCCCACCCACAGGGGCTGTGGGAGGGCGGGGCATCGCGGATCTCAGGTCGGCGTTGGGAGTCGCCGGGGCACCCCCGGCAGTGCTAGCACCCCTGGAGTTGGTGGGCCGGCGCAGCCAGTGGCCTGGGCTCCGGGTGCTAGGTCCACAGCAGCCGCAGCGTCCTCGGGTGCGCACAGAGCCGACCTGCCCTGGTTCTCTGAGGCCGGGGAGGCCCCGAATTCGGCCTGGAGCCTGGATGCAGCTCTGCTCGCGCCTGGGCGCCTGGGGAGTCACTTGCAGCACCCCGCTTCAGCCCCTGCTGGCGCCCTGCGCTGGGATCAGGCGCCCGGCTTGAGTGACGCGGAATGTTGGAATCCTTGGAGGCACCTGGAGTCCGGGCGGCCGGCAGTCAGCCCAGCCGTGAGGGGCACGGGGACGGGCTTGGCTTCAGGAGGGTGTGTCAGGAAGGTCACTGTGGACAGGTAGCCGCAGAACTTTGAAAGTCTTCTGAATTCGCCACGGAGACTGGCCTTAACGAATACGTGCCACCTGATACCATGTGGCTGTGGGCATGACATCTGTAAGCGTTTGTGAGTTTTGGCGAATAGGACGATGGGAATTGTCCGTGGATTGGGAAGGCCATCACACTTGCTTGCATAGGACGGCATGCAGGCACGTGTGGCCTCAGTGTGCATGTCTTGGGGAGAGAGCACACCGGGCCTCTCTCTCTCCAGATTATGCCATTTCATTCTCTTTGCTTATCTCTTGTTTTGTGGTTAATTTGCTAGGCACCGGAAGCTCTCCCTGTGCCAAGCACTGGGTTTCCCTGCCCTGCTTTCAGGGGCCCTCGGATACTATGAAATCCCAGTGGCCAGTGAGCCTTGAATGTGGCAAGTCCTCCAAAGAGGCAGGGCAGCCACCAAGTCCAACCAGGGCAGTTGGGGTGCTCCCTGGGCCACTGCTGAGCTCAGAAGTGTTGAGGTGCTGGCTGCAGGAAAGAGTGGGGAACAGAAACCGGCTGTGGAGCTAGGGGACTCCCAGACTCTGCCCCAGCTGGGAGGGCTTTTCCCCCTGCTCATTAAAAACGTAGCAGGGCCTTAACCTGGAGTTTCTCTGCCTGGCAGAGCAGGGGATGTGCCTCTAATCTGCAGGTGGGCACCTCGCCCACAGCCCTGAGCGCACACAGGGTTTGAGGGGTGGGGATGGGCAGGGCGTGTGTGCAGGAGGTCTAGACAGTGCCAAGGGGCCTCCCAAAGCCTGACCCACCACACCCTGCACCACAGGCTCCCAGCAGGAAGCGGTGACTCAGGCCTGAGCCTCTCCTCTCTGCTCTGGAAAATTCTCCATGGCTTGCTAGTGAGTGGGAGTGTGGGGCAGCCCCCTCCCATCAGCCCCCCCACCATTGGGGCCTTCCAGTTGGTGAGTTGGGCCCACTGGGGCCTCTCTTGCAGATGGAGGTCCACAAGCAGACCCTGGTGACATGGTGGGTTAAGCGATGACTTGGTGGATTAAAGTCAAGCAGCTGCTCCAGGGAAGGAGGAGGCTGTGTGCTCCCGGGAAGTCCCCCAAGCAGCCTCACTCTATTCTGTAGAGTTGCTGCTGTCCTGGGGGGTGGGGGGAGGTGAGAGTGCGCCTGCTCTTAATCAAAATACCAGAAATAGTACTTGGTTTAAGGCAACGTCTCTTAGAAATCTAAGTAAGAGTCTTCTGTAATAGCATGTACCAGCAGCTACCTCCCCTTGAGTGAAAATCACTTGTAGCTTAAGCAGACCAGATGGGCTTCTAACTTTAGAGTGTCGCCAAGCACAGAGAGCACCCCCCACCCAAACCCTTCCCATGAGCTGTGGATCGAGATGACTCGGGGTAAATATTAACGCCGCGTTAAAAGTCAGCTTGGGAAATGTATGTACGGCTATTGTCTCTGATCGCGCGCAAAACCTGGTTTTGGGTTTGGTGTATAACTTGCTTCATTCTCACTGGACTTATGGAGGGGCACCCTCCCGCCTCCCAGCGTTTGCTTCGGTCTCGACTTGCAGATTAAACTTACTGTCTTTGGCTGAAACAGTGACAGGAGACACGGGACCCTTGTTCCCCGGGTCAGACTGAGTCCAGGGCAGGTGGGGGCTGGAGCTCTGGACTCTAGCAGGCCAGTGCTGGGTGCAGCAAGGGTCAGGAGGGCGGAAGCCCCGTCCGCGAAGGCCCCGCCCACCTTGGTGGGAGGAGCCGCGGCGCGGATGCCCGGTGAGCGTGCTGGGGAGGGGGCTCCGCAGAGGCGGGGCTGGGTGGTGGTGGTGGTGGCGGCGCTTACAGTCCACCTTTATCCCGCGAACACCCGCGCGGGCCGCGCACCTGTGTGGACCCGACCTCAGGGCCTGGTTGGGCAGCGTCTCAGTAGAAAGCGCCCCTCCCCCAAGAGGCCACCTTCTGGGCGCCTGGAATCACGGGCCCCAGGTTCTCCAGAAAGTGCCCCCGTCCGTCGTGGTCGCACCACCCATGCGGAGCCTCAGGCCTGCGTGGAAGCTGGTGCCGGCTCTGCCCCTCCGGAGCGACCTCCAGTGGTCCCCAGCCCTCGCCCTGCCAGCGGGGGCTCTGCCCTGGGCTCAGCTGGCTGGAGGTATGCAACCCCCAACCCCCGGTCCCTGTCCCTCTGATGTCCATCCTGCCCGGAGGGAGCTGGGCACTTGGGGCCGAACAGGATCCAGCTTCACCCTGGGGCCGTCCTGATGTCAGGGAACCAGGGGGCACCCCTGCTCAGGTGGGGCGGAGGGCCACAGTGGCTGTGTCATATGGAGATGAGGCCCTCAGCCAGGCTGTGGCTTTCTGGGGACTCAGAGGCTTAGAAGCCCAGCCCAGCCAGGCTCCCCCATCCCCGCCAACCTGGCGAGTTCAGGGGCTGTTTGTTGTGCCAGGGGAGGAGGTGGTTTCTCACCGAACCTGCAGGATTGCCAGCCTGGTTGTCTTCCTAGGCATATGGCCATGGGCAGGACTCCTGCTCACAGCCTGCCGGTGGCCAGATGGACTTGCTTTGTCTCTGGGACATCTGTGTGACCCTGGTGGGTGACAGACACCTTGCCTCAGTTTCCTTAGCAGACACATGAGCTAAGAGGGGTGCAGTGAGTGGGAGAAGGGTGCCCCTTTCCACAGCCCCTGGGCAGGCAGCCTTGTATGCCAGCAGGGCCAGGCGCTGCAGATGCTGGTGAAGACAGTGACCTCTGAGTCCAGTGGACACAGGTCCCTGGCATGGGAACTGCCTATGGGAGGGAGCGACCTTGGGACACAGGGCGCAGTTGGTGGGAGGTGAGCTTAGAGTGTCAGGGACGGCTGTTGGGGAGGGGCTCCACCAGCCCTGCCAGCCTTGGAAGCAGGCTGTGTAGGCAGGAAACCAGGGGCAGGGGAGCCAGGTGGCCTGGGAGTGGTGGTCTTCAATGTGGGGGCCTCAGGTGTGCGATGTGCTGCAGGGGCAGGGTGGGGGAGGCTGTTAGAGTGCCTGGTCCCCTCCTGCAGGTGCCACATCTTCCTGAGGTTGACCCTGAGCCTGACACACTGGGAGTTTGAGATAGAAAGTACCCACTCCCCCTGTGTGCAGTGATGGCTCAGGGCCCCCTACAGGACATGGGCAGTGGCTGGACACTAGGTGTTCTCCACAGGACCCTCCCCCCACCCGGCCCTTTTCATCGGACCCAGCTCAGCCTTGGGGTGGCCTCTGTTTCCGGAAGGTGAGCCTCAGGCCCCTCCTTGAAACCCCCTACCCAGGACTCACTGGCCCCCAAACCCAGGGCTGGCGTCTGTGCCACGTCCCAGCCGGATGGCCCACAAGGGCTGTCCCCTTAGCTGGCACACTGCCTGCCCAGGCTCTCTTCATTGGAAGGCCTGCGTCTGGCCCAGGTGGTCAGGAGCCCTGCTGATGAGGGGCAGTGAGGAGAAGAGTGGGGAGAAGCTGCGGGGATGCCCCTCACCCATACCACAAGGCCTGCTCCCTGTCTTCTCCCCCATGCCCACTCCCCAGGTACTGCCAGGTGACCTTTCTAAAGGGCAGCCCTGATGCGTGTCTCCCGACAGGCTTGGTCTCTCGATGTTTCTCTTGAATGAGACCCAGCCCCCACTGAGGCTGGACACTGTTGTCCACAGTGCTGCTGCTGGCTGGCCTGAGGACAGGGGGTCAGATGCAGAGACCCCTGAGCTCTCAGCCCACAGCAGGTGGACTCTGGGCTTCCTGACCCCACACCTTGAGGATGTCCTGGGGACCAGTATCAGGAGATGGGCTCCCTCAGGGAGGTCTGTCTTGGGTCCTCTGACCTGCCCCATCCCTGCTGCTAGCCTAGGGCCCTGGACCACACTCACTGCGTCCAGCTCCAGGCTGTGTGGTGGGAGCCTCGGATCTCCAGGGGGTGCAGCGTGGCCCGCCAGCCTGCTTGTGCCCAGAGACACAGGCCAGAATAGTCCGGGCAAGGCCATCTCCTAGCCCCATGGGGACCCCCTGCTGGGGCCTCCTGCAGCCAGTGCTGGGCCTGTCCCTGCCTGGGTGAAGGAGAGTCACGGCTTTGGCTTTCCAACAGATGTGGGCCCCCTGGGCCCCTGCCTTGGGTGGGCATTGGAAGGAAGTCCCAGAAGTGGCCCTGGTGCTGCCCAGGGTAGGACTGTGGCATCTCCCGCCAGGCCGGCTCCCTGAGGGCTTGACTGAGACCACCTCCCTCCGCAGGCCCCGCGCCCTCCATCACCATGAACCTGGACATCCATGGGGAGCACGTGAGTGACACGCGATGGATGGCACTCCAGCCGCAGATCAAGCAGGTTGAGGTCCTCAGGTGGGCACCTGAGGCCTGGTGGGGCCGGCTGCAGCTGCTCCGTGGGACTGGGGATCTCTTCAGAGCCTGCTCCCTGCTTCCCTCCCCAAGAGTAAAGGAGGGAGGTCTTGCTGGGCCCCTTTAATCATAACCTGACCACAGGGTCCTGCCAGCACCCCACTGAGCCCTGTGCCAGCATGTCTTGGGTCCCCCCACCCCTCGCCTTTCTGCTCCCTCATTGTGTGCTCCCTGCACTAATGGGTGGTCACTCTGGGAGCCCAGGCCCCCTCTCCCTCCGACATCCCCCTGCCTGAGCATGGCTGGCAGGCGGGGGTAGCTTTGGGCCCGTCACTGTCCATCCCTGTGCTGAGCACGTGTGTGTCCCCCACAGGCTGCGGTTGTGCGGCCTCACGGAAGCCCGCTGCCAGGAACTCGGCGCTTCCCTGCAGGCCAACCCCGGGCTGCAGGAGCTCTGCGTGGACTTCAACGAGATCGGGGATGGCGGCTTGAGCCTCCTGTTGCAGGTGCTGCTGGGCCCTACCTGCAAGATCCAGAAGCTGAGGTGCTTGCTGCCCCCTGCTGGGCCAAGACCACAGAATTCCGTTGCGGGGGCGGGGGTGCGTGTGTTGCTGCAGAGTGGGGGTGTGATGGGCAAGGGGGGAGACCGCTACAGAGGGGATAACGGACCCCAGAGGCCCCCATCCCCACTCCCACATCTCCTTCCTGCTGCGGCATACAGACAGGGGCCTTGAGAGTCAGTCCTGTGAGGAGGTACCGGCAGAGGTCATGTGGTGGGATAGGGGTACAGATCAGGGCTTTGGGGGTCTCGTGGGGGTACAGGTGGGTGTGCTCTGTCGGGTTGTCACTGCTGAACCCTGCTCCCCCCAGCTTGCCAAACTGCAGCCTGACCGCGAGCAGCTGTGAGGGGCTGGCTGACCTGCTCCGCTCACGGCCCACCCTGCTGGAGCTGGATCTCAGTGACAACCCCCTGGGTGATGAGGGGCTGCGGATGCTCTGTGGGGGGCTCCAGGACCCTCAGTGCCACCTGGAGAAGCTGCAGTGAGTGATAGCCACGTGCTCTGGGCAGGGACACGCGCGCATGCGCACACACACACGCTGGTCCCTCACGGTCCCATGCAGGGAGGTTGGGGTCCCTGGGGGCAGTGGCCTGAGCGCTCTTGCCCCCTCCCTGCAGGCTGGAGGGCTGCCAGCTGAGCGGGGTGAGCTGTGAGCTTCTGGAGGGCGTGCTGAAGGCCAGGCCGGCCCTGAAGGAGCTGGTGTTGAGTGGCAACCAGCTGGGCCCTGCCCTGCAGGGGCTCTGCCAGGCCGCCAGCAATCTGGAGACCCTCAAGTGAGTCAGCGAGTTGGGGATGGGCTGGGGGCAGGCCAGGTGGCAGGACCTGCAAATCGGGCCTTGGTGACCACTCCCCCGCCCGCACGTCCTGCCCTGTCCCCAGGCTGGTCCAGTGTGGCATCACAGCAGCTGACTGCAAGGGGCTGAGCAGCATGCTGGCCGCCAGTGAGACGCTGCAGGAGCTGCACCTGGGGGAGAATGAGCTGGGCAGCGAGGCCATGGCCCTGCTCTGCTCCGGGATGCTCAGCCCCAGCTCCAGGCTCAGGGTCCTGGGGTGAGTTGCCTGGGGCCCTGGGTGGGTGTCTTGGGCCGGCTAGGTCCACTGCTTCCTGCAGTGGCAGGGACAGCCCATGACTCGGTACCTGCAGGTTGTGGGAGTGCTGCATCTCGGCCGAGGGCTGCCGGGAGCTCAGCCGCGTGCTGGGTGCCAAGGAGAGCCTGAGGGAGCTGAACCTGACCTACAACGAACTGGGGGACACCGGTGTGGCGCTGCTGTGTGAGGCCATGCGGGAGCCGGGCTGCCGGCTGGAGTCGCTGCGGTAAGCCCTGCTTGTGTGACCCTGCGTCCGAGGGCTGCACGGGTGCATGCCCACCGGTAACCTGCTGGCCCTCCCCAGGATGCGGTCCTGTAGCCTGACGGCTGCCTGCTGCACAGACCTGGGTGCCATGCTGGTCCAGAACAAGCACCTGCGGGAGCTGCAGCTGAGCAGCAACAACCTGGGGGACAACGGCGTACAGCTGCTCTGCCAGGGCCTGGGCCAGCCCGGCACCACACTGCGCCAGCTCTGGTGGGTGTGAGCACACAGCCTGCCCGCGCTGCGTGTGTGAGAAAGCACTCAGGGCCACCCTGCTGCAAGGGCACCTTTAGTTGCAGTCTGCCCCTCACCCAGCCAGTGGCGTGTTGCTGGCTGCCAGGCCTGGGTGCTCCCACAGTGCTGCCAGTGACATTGTGCGTCTGACATGGACATCTGTGTCTGTGTCCTCTGTCCTTGGTGATGTTCCCTAGAGGGCATCTGCCAGGCTCCATATCCCCCCTGAAAACCCTGGGCCCCTTGCTCTCTCC